TCACTTTCCGATCTTCACAAAAATTCGGAGTTCTCACATCACAGTGTGTAAAGGATCTGTGACGACAAGTTTGAAGCAAACCTGGGGAAAATTTTTCAAAGTCCACCAGCATTCGCTTCGCTCTTGCCACCCCCAGAGGGGTGAAACGACGGTCCCTCAGCGACTCGTAGTGCTCTTGACGAACCTGAAATCAATAGGTATATGCGGACCGCACCTTTCAAATTGCCTGGTGTGCTATGTAGCAAAAAACACACCTCTTCATACTCCTCACTGAGGTCAGCAATGAAGGCATCTCTTGTTGTTTTATCCGTCAAAGATGAACACTATAACAAATAGCGACTCCTGATCGGTAAAATGCATCAATTCGCTTATAAACTATGAAGATTTATTCATGGCACGTCATTTCGACATTGTAGGCTGTAACAAATCTTCTTTCGTAACGTTTCTCCCATTCACTTAGTTTCTCCTCTCTTTTGACTACTTTCTCAATTGCGAGTCCACCGTTTTTATTTCTAGTTCACCCTTTATGGTATCCCTCTGGGAGCATCTTCTTTTTTTTACACAGGGCCTATTTCATCACGAGATATGATCTCTCCAATTCCTGGAAGTCTTCACTAGCGGTGGCTGAATTTACCGGCTTTATCTCATTACTGTTGGAGCACTCGTCAGCATCTTTGTAAGAAGGGAAAACAGCGTGCTCTACTATCTTGATTTCGCCGCCCTCCCTACAACCATAGAGGACTAAGGAAAGTGGCGAGCCGCTGAGGGTGATACTGGCCATATACGCTCCAAAGCTGTATCGGTATGTAACAGAATCTGAAGCTTTTCTTCAACCCCTGGAACTCCTCTTGAACTGATCACGGGTCAATTGTGTCGATCGTCCATCAGTACACTCAAACTAGAACTTTGATGTGGCACACCTAAGGTCTTGATCTTGCTTTGCAACCACCCTTTTTTGGATTACAACATGCTGCTCAAGAGCATGCCGCGCGACAAGACCACTACCTTTTTGTTAGGTACCCTCCCCTTCAAAAAGCCAGAAAGTGTCGGGTGCAGACCATACACCACAAGTGACGACGGCCTCCACAAAATGCAAATGTTTTTGCCAATGAAATGATTAGCCTGTTGCAGTTGTATTCTATCAGTTGTCACTAATTACAACTATCATTTACCAAAAATCAGCTATCACTATGAACCACTACTAACCAGATTTACTTGGAGGCCGTCGTCACTTGTGGTGTATGGTCTGCACCCGACACTTTCTCGCTTTTTGAAGGGGGGGGGGGGGTAAATACAGCTCTTGCTAATTTCGCCGATGCGTCTTTGACTCCACTCTGAAGAACGCGAAAGGTCGCTAGGATTTCACCGATGCTCTCGAATATCGGCAATGACCGGTAAGTGTTTGGAAGCAGCCGTAACTGCTTTTTCCCTGTGCCCTCCCGTTGAGGCGTGCTTCCTCGCGCTCTCTGTCCTCTCTGCTCGCTCTGCATCTCTGCCTTACCACAAGCGTCTTTTATATAATAGAATTTGAGGTCTCTAATTTAGTGCTTCAGAAGGTTTTTCTGCTCTCTCTTCCACTTTCAGTCAACATCGCACCGTCACCTCCATTATTGAGCGCTCTAAAACACCAGTGATGAGCTCCGCGGATTGACGAATAAGGTTCGTCTGAGGAAGGAGCGAAACGAACCATTTTAATTATTTCTTCTTTAATAATTTTTTTATAATGATTTTTTCTTTCTTGAATATCCTGTAACTTGTCATTGACCTTTGAGAATGATGAACAGAATTTTAGTGCTCGATGTTTACAAAGCTAGTCAGCACTCGACAGTAATTCAGAACTGGGCAGATACATGTTTAATGCATAGAACCCTGAACCGTGCACGGTGGCATTTCTGTGCCTATCACGTGTCTGTTATTATGTAGACCGTGATATGAACGAAGTCAGCAAGGCTCGAGTTGGTCTAGCGGAATTTGACTTTAGAAAAGCGAGTTGTACCGTCAATAGCCGTGATTTTTTCGTCAGGCCACTGGAATTCGATGCGCAGAAAGTTTGACATGATTAACAAAATCAAAGCCGATCGGAAAGCAAACGAACCACCACTACAGATTTACTGGCATCCAAACAGTGAACCACAGGATTATGATATCGAGGTGCAATTTTTACAGCAGTGTGCGTTTTTCGACGTCGTCGCTCCTCCTGATAGTAACAAGAATCAACAAATGATAACACAAGTTCACAAAGGCACACGGCAAATACGAACTGATGTCAAAAATGTCGGTGGAAATAAAAGCTTAGTGCAAGTTATTTCTACACATGAAATTACAGTACTTTTCTATGTACATGCCGCAGCCTTGTTCATTCGGAAACAGCTATGGATAAAGTGTCAGACGCAGTTTCAGGATTGTCAATGATGAACATTATTGAAAACCGTATTGTTTGTGTGGCTTTACCCTGTATTAGGCTTCTACCAGCCCTAATAGAGTCGACTGAAAAAAAAACTTATAGCTGTAGAATATCAGGTGATTGGAATATCGAGGGTCTTGAAAGAGAATTTAATTATCTCATAGTACCCTGAACATACGAACTGATATACTTGCGAGTGGATAAACCGTTGTCCGAGAAAAAGAAAAACAATAAAACCCAAAGTCAAAAAAACTGAAGATGGCACAGGTGCGATTAGTCTAGCCTTCCAACTGAAACCCTTAACTCTGATTAGCTTAATTTGCGCTATACTGCAGTTCTTGTGAGCTGATTACGCAGATCTGGAGGGCACGGTACTGTATCTGACTAACAACTATTTGATGGTTTGGCTGGTCTCGAAGGTCTCTTGGGTAGCGAGACATTAGTAGGATAGACCGTGCATTGGTTTCTACTTTTTAAGGCTCCGAAGAAGGTGAGATCGCCAAAACGTAGCCGACGGAACCATTAACCTCGTGTGCTGTCAAGTCAAATAAATTGTACTCAACTCAGTAACTATAATAGAACCGCATCCTTACCACTAAGAAAAATTCATATCTTGTAGTAATCGACATCTCGATGGATGACGTAATGGAGCTGGGCGGAGCAGGCAGCAGGTGTGAAGGAGATGGCTCGCGTAGGATAGGGGCCTTGTCTTTTACCATCCCCCGCAGCCCTGTTTTTGTCCCCCGTAGCATGCTACCAGATCCCGTTCCGCCCAAGGCATTCGATTCGTTGTTCGTTTTCAAGCCAGGAACTGCGGCTGATGAAGACTGATTCTCTTCCACTCTAATTGAAATCTATGGAAGAATAAATGTTCCTTGGAATAGGGCAGACCACCGCTACGGAATAGCAGAAGTATAAACACAACAAAATAACATTCTGTTTAATAAAGTTCTTTCGCAATTCCACTAAACGCGGATCACATCAAATCTTTCACCTTCAGTTTTTAAAGCCGAGTAATATTCTCCTGCTTCTCATGAAAGTGCTTTTAAATTGAGATGTATGATGTGGAATCAAGATGTTTGCAATATCAAAGAAATACGAAAGGGAATACAACTAACCTATAAGCAGCGGTATTTTAAGCCCTACACGCTGCATTTCTTTAGCAACATGAACCATTTCGTCCAGCGATGGCGTTATGAGGCCCGAGCAACCTATGAAATCTGAAACACGTGTAAACGATTAGATAAGAAAGCAACTATGTAAAAATGATCGTTACCGTAATGAAAAGGCATGAGCCAGGATTAGCAGTACATTATGTATGTACGTCGGAAACAAAGTAAGCAAACTTGTTGAAATCATTAATACCGGAAACAATAGTAAAAGTGGCCTTTATGAAAAGTTGACCACAACTCACCAGCTTGCTCTTCAACAGCAGCTTTGATTATTGCCTCGCAGGGTGTCATCACACCCAGATCCACCACCTAAAATCACTTTCTTTTTCCAAGGCATGCATTTTCTGAGGTTGCAAGTTGCAAAGCCTTCGCCACCCGCTGATGTTCGAGAATCTCGTTCTGCGTGGTGCATTGTTCGGCATTTTATAATGCTTGCTACTTTATGTCTTTTTATCTCCTTTTTTGAGTTCGAGAGGATATCTCTTCATCGCGTAGCGGTGAAATGTAAATATCATTGTTGTTAAATTAGCGCCAACGAAAAGTTGGCTCAGTCCGAAACCTAGTTTTTATATACTATTATTTTATATTCGATTTAGCATGTAAATTTGGTTATTTATCTACTTTCATTCAATATGAAACAGTGCACATGGAGTGATATCTACAAATCAATGTGTGATCGAACATGCGCACAAGTGCCCCTACGATTTTGAACAAAGTTGAATGCGTGGCGCATGCGAGATCAGACTGATCCCGTTCATCGCTTCATTATCAACTCATCCTGGTGGAAATCAGACTGAGATGTATTTCATAACTTCTGACGAGTAGATCATCCACTAGAAATGGATTGATGCCAATTCGCCGAGTGTGAGCGCTGTCCAAGATGAATGACCATCAAACAAGTCAAGCCACAAGAACTTTCACGCATCCTAACTGTTCATATTGTGATGCAATACTGTCTGCAGAAGCATTATACGCTGAGGAACAACATGTAGGCGTTGAACATAGGTTTCTATTACGTCAAATTTCCTCTTCTTTGTTTTTTTCTTCTCGATTTCCAGTTTTTATCTTGAAAAGATTACAAAATATAAATAGGAAAACGGCGGGTAAGTCGTACCTTAAAGTTGTTACATCCCAAAACCACTGCTACTATATTTTTTCCAATGTCGTGAACATCTCCTTTGACCGTGGCGAGAACAATTGTTCCTTGATATGGGCTCTGAACAAGAAATATAAAGTGAGTGAGATAGGACTCTCCTCTGAGCAAGAACATGGGACATACCTCGTCAGCAGATAATCCTAATTTCTTGATGTTCTCCTCACGTTCTTGGTCCATGAACGGTATAAGGTGCGCTACAGCCTTTTTCATCACACGTGCGGATTTGATCACCTTCAATATTGGTAAGGAATGCTTTATTTCATGTATGGAATACGCACAATCTCAGGCGCTAACGCAAGATAAGGGTCATCGCGGTGGCTGCATTTAAAATCGCGTAAAACATGTCCTTTTGTTAAAATGGGACCAAGCCTCAGGAGAGAGAAGAGACTCCAGGGTGCGTCAGCCATTTTCATTCTCCAGGTATTCCTGCCCCCAGGCTTGGCCCTAGAGAATGCCCCCGTATATTGCTATAGCGCCAAATTTCAAGTTGTCCGTAAAAATTTCTTCGCTATGTTCACGTGGTTCACTTTTCTAAGTAAATGGTGAAGCCAGGGGCAAAATACTGAAAACGTCAAGTCTTGCGCGAATGCGATTGGACGAAAATCGTATCAAACCAATCCCATAATTAATATTTAAAGTTACTTGTGGCAAGAACATTTTTCCAGAACCAAAGAGTTCTCCAACAACGGCCATTCCATCCATCAATGGTCGCTCGATCACATTAAGTGGACGCGGATATTTGTCGGTCATGCGACGAGCCTCCTCTGTGTCCTCCACAACGTGCGAGTCAATGCCCTGTAATAAAGCAACAATACGAAGGGGGTGGAAGAAAGAGGGTAGGTGAGAGGGCACATGATGAGAAGGCGCAGACACTCGCATGCTGTGAATGAGCAAAAGTGAAAGTGGTCGAAGCGGTCTTGGGAAACCCTGGTGCTCTTGTGGAGCACTTTGAGCAAGGGAACGGGATATCTACGAGCTTAGTAGGCAAGTGGATATCCATTCCTTCAAAGGGATTGATCCACACAATTTCATCGTGGGATGTGCCCTGAAGAAAATAAAGATGTTAAGGCAGTTATGAAGACGGCATCTTTCCAAATGGGGGCGCGAGAACCGTTACTTCAGTGGTAAAGAAACATTTGGGAAAGGTCCCATGAGCACATTATGAAGGAAGCACTGACCTATGAGTCCGATGCTTAAGGCAAGCGAAGGAGGAGAAAAGAAAATGAAAAAGGACATTTTTAATAGGGCACGATAGGGAAACTCTTATACAGATCATCGCATCAAATATTTCGTGTCACATTAATTTTTTTCACGGAGGTATTTGCGTACCTGATAATTCAATGGATCAACAGTAAAATAGACTTAGTAATATATTGAACACAAATTAATAAAAGCAAAAAGGAATCCAAAAAGAATTCGAAAGTTTTTCTTTATTACAAATCGACAATGAGCAGGTGCTCGGTGCAGCAGCACACTTTCTTCTCGTGCGCTCATCGCATAAAAGTATAAGGATCGAACTTTGATGATTCCCTTCTGGGAAGCATTCCGATTCCGTCCTGCTAACATTTAAAGGAGTCCTTCCAGAAATATTTTGTACTCTTTCCAGGCATGAATGTGATAGCTGTGAATACTAGAGACAACATAGAAAGTTTCATGCACGAAGATCCAGTTTCTGCAAAGAAATATGGGGCGGCCACGCTCCAGGCAACTCATTGAACGATTCGGATTAAAGCGCTTGGATTTGGAGAATGGAACAGATGTGTGGCGGGAATTTGAACGACTAACAGTCCTTCAGGTTTTTCAAATTGCTTACCAGAAACAAACGCAATTTTTATGTTCTTTTCGCTCTTATCGTGAATGATGATTATCAAGCCTAGTGCTTAATGGAGAGATGGAATCATGACTTCTCCGGAAAGAATTCCTTTACAGGTGATCAAAACCCTAAAATGAAGCGCCGACCTAACGAGGGGAGGTCGTTCAGGGCGTGGAGCGCTTTTTGAAAACGGTTTTTTGCATGAAATAGGGGCAGGTGCAGTGAACACAGATCTATGGTCCATTTCCGCTAAATGGCCTTCTGAATGCCAAAAAAGGAGTGAAAATCATTTTGTTGGAAACTGCAGTTTTTACTTGTTAAACGTGGTGTGTTTCATTCATGGCGTCAACTATAGGCATAGTAAAAGGTCGTAGTGAACTGTGCATCGAAAATAACGTGAGGTTTAGCCAAAAATGGATCCTTGTCATGCTACATGCTACGGAGTGTGCGGAAGATTCATAACAGCTATCTGCAGCTTGGATGTCGGCAGCGACGGATGGCTTAGCGGATAGTGCTGTGGGGAGTTGGCACGAGTGGACTGGGTTGGTGGTTCGGATCCTCCGCGCGCGAAATTTTTTGCATTTTATGCTGGCACCTCCATCTTGGCTCCAAACTGCACCAGTGCCAAAATGAGTGTCTGACTGGTCATTGTCGTGACCAGGAGCAGCAATGACCCCGTGCGCTAGGTTTTCACTGAAAACTGGCTAGAAAATTGTATCTCTAGAATGAGAATAAATGACACCAGCAACTATTCGTATTTGTGATCAGCGTGGACAACCCTCGCAGAGCAGACCACGGGATCATTAGGGGAATTTTTTTTTTCCATTTTTTTTTTCTTTTAGGATTTGCTCAATGTGTAAAATTTTCCATTTATTGCAAATTATTAACACGTGTGGTACAACTCTATAAAGCAAGTGAAACATAGCTGTTTGCCGCACCAGCTGCACTTGACGAATGCCAAGGAAGAGCAGCTACCGGAAGCTCCGGGATGGTCGTCGACGGAAATACTCACGCTCGTACATGCTTGTGCGAGTATTTGATGATGTACCGCAACCTACAATCACATCTGAAGAATATGTGGTGTGTACCATTTCTGATCTCGACATGGCTTTCTCACCTGCTAGAGTTATTGGCCGCCTTCTATCGTCGTTCACGCCCGATTTTTCTCCTCCTACGAGAAAAGAAATCGCAATTGCCGACGCCTTCAGAGGAATACTTAAGGGCGCAGAAAGTGGTGACATCGACTACGACGAGGAAGAAGAGACGCTTCAGGTTACTTTTATAGGAGTTTATGAGCAGTCGCACTGTTAACAAACAGGTCCGAGCTTCTGAAGTGCTGCAGTTTACAGGCAACTTTCGATGAAAGAGAAGACGCTTGCTGGACTCCACAAGATGATGACGATGACCGTAGCAGCGTTACTATTTCCACCACGGAGGACTGTTTTCTTCGACGGCAGGCCCATTCCTCACGATGCTGTTAGTTGTAGCACTTTGTAACGAAAGCTCAAGGTGCAATCATGTATTTCGCAGATCGAACGCGCCATTGCTCACTACCGCGACACTGACAAGGGAACACGTTCTTTAGCTTCCATGAACAACCGGTTCAAGTGGATCAAAACTGAACGGCACATGTATTTGCTCCGCGAGATCGAAAAAGAGGTATTCAAAGGCAAACACAAAAAAATTCGCAAGTGATTAGGTTGAATTCTGTAAACTTCCTTTTTTCACCCAGGAATGGTTGAAGAATCAAGAGTGCTTAATTTTAAACGCCTCTCCGCTCTTCTTCGAGAAAAGAGTACTGGAAGCCGCCGAACAAGGTTTGACTACTGGCATCTGGAAGGTATGCTTGAACACGAAGAACACCTTCTGCATTGATGATTCTTTCTTACAGAACGCTAGCCCCGGTTGGCTCAAAGCAAGTCATGCGCGTGGTGCAATCCGTTTCATCGCTCACGCACTCATTTACTGCCATGCCGGTGATGTACGCAGATGGACGACTCGGAGAAAAGCTTCTTGTCATTCTTCCCGAAAGGGGAGGAGTCTTTCCGCAGTCAGGACATTGGCAGGCACCAAACCTGCTGGTGATGGCTGGAAAGACTCACATCATGACAAAGTCGCAGGTCCCAGCTTTCGTCAAGGAGTGTGTGGTTGGGTCGTCGTCCCCTCCACTTACAATACTTCTTGTCGACAGCTGGGGTGGATTCACTGACCACACCAATGTGCTGTCAGAGGTGCCCGAAGGTAAAGAGCTCCGTTTGATGACTATCCCAGCAGGAGCAACTGCCCCCTCTGTCAGCCATTGGATGTGTATTTCTTCGACTATTCAAACGATACATCAGGCGCCTTCATGACCATGTGATGCATCATCACCCTGGTTTCGCCCCTAGTAGGGACAATATTCTCAAGGTAAGGGCTTCTTATTAACAATGTTGAGTGAACTTCCGCATACTATTTTTTGTGCAGGTTGTCAGCCAGACGTATAGGCAGTTCTGTGCGCCCATTTTTCGTCCTTGCCTAGCGTACGCCTGGGTGGCTGCAGGATACGTCGACGACCATCCAGGAGCTTTTTCGACGCCGGCTGATTACGGTTTCAACGGAGGTGAAATTGTCGGCGGTTGCCAAGGGATCGGCAGCTGCTCTTCCTTGGCATTCGTCAAGTGCAGCTGGTGCGGCAAACAGCTATGTTTCACTTGCTTTATAGAGTTGTACCACACGTGTTAATCTGTTTGCAATAAATGGAAAATTTTACACATCGAGCAAATCCTAAATGATCCCGTGGTCTGCTCTGCGAGGGTTGTCCACGCTGATCACAAATACGAATAGTTGCTGGTGTCATTTATTCTCATTCTAGAGATACAATTTTCTAGCCAGTTTTCAGTGAAAACCTAGCGCACGGGGTCATTGCTGCTCCTGGTCACGACAATGACCAGTCAGACACTCATTTTGGCACTGGTGCAGTCTGGTCTCAGCCCGAACCACCAACCCAGTCCACTCGTGCCAACTCCAGTCCACAGCACTATCCGCTAAGCCATCCGTCGCTGCCGACATCCAAGCTGCAGATAGCTGTTATGAATCTTCCGCACACTCCGTAGCATGTAGCATGACAAGGATCCATTTTTGGCTAAACCTCACGTTATTTTCGATGCACAGTTCACTACGACCTTTTACTATGCCTATAGTTGACGCCATGAATGAAACACACCACGTTTAACAAGTAAAAACTGCAGTTTCCAACAAAATGATTTTCACTCCTTTTTTGGCATTCAGAAGGCCATTTAGCGGAAATGGACCATAGATCTGTGTTCACTGCACCTGCCCCTATTTCATGCAAAAAACCGTTTTCAAAAAGCGCTCCACGCCCTGAACGACCTCCCCTCGTTAAGTACTCGTACTACCTTCATACTCGTCGAGAGGCTACGTTACTAAGAAACCTGGTTCTGTAATGATGATAGGATTGTTGTCCTTTGCGAAGTCCGATCGCTAAGGTACGGGTTTGAGAAAGAGGGGGCTTTTCACTATGCCATCCTAGCCCGCAACGCCCACCCTCTACAATCAATAGCATTTTATGAGCACTTTTAAGGCTTTTCAGCACTTCATGATGAATAGCAGAACTGAAGAGCACCAGCTTTTCCAACAGAATAGGCACACCAGAACCTATGCGGTGTCCGAATGGATACAACACCTATTCTAGCAGCATGCTTCCACAGGACTGGAGAAAAAGAGTATAGTGTACAAACCTTGACTAAAGCGTATTTCAAGCGTTCTTCCACAGAAAGATCTCGCCACTCCTCCGATTTTTCGATTTTCTTATCACCTTTCTTCATGTTCTGTGCTACAATGAGCATTTTCTCGGTAGCGTCTGGATCACGATTGAACAGAAGATCTTCAATCAGTATCAAGAGGTCCTGCAAAACCATTGTAAAGCACTCCTTATAGCTCCAATTTGATGATATCTTTAAAAGTGCCTCTATTCTGTTCATGATGTTCTGTGCCCAACACAAACACGAGCTACTAGGTTGATGCAGGAGAACCGGGTTTAATTTCAAATCAAATTTTTCAAATTTTTATTCCTCATACAAAACAAGCTTTTCCAGAAATGATTGTCATCATTAGCTGCGATTTTTTGCCATAAACCCGCTAGACACCGTATCTGATGGCAGAGACAATCCTTAAACATTAAGACACCTTTAACACACGTCTTGAACTCGATCAAGCGACTCAGTTCAGCGATCTTCTGGAGGAGCTATCTTGCTCAAATTAAAAACGTAATGGCTGGGTTGAAAACATGCTGAGGCAAAAGTATCACTTCTAGCTGTTCAAGCCTTCCCCCGATATTGCTAGTTTTATACAGCATAATGTTGCTTGCATAAACATTACGCCCTTTCGAGCAATGTGGGAACTTCTCGCGCGATCTAGATTGAAAGCGAAAACGGATAATATCGAAGCTAACAGTATGAAAACCTCAAAGAAAACCTAATGTCTCCACAAAATGCATGGAGCGTTCATAATAATTATTGCAGAGAATAATTATGCATTAGTCAAAGGTCAGTTATAGTATGTACAAACACACACGAATTTTAAGAACTTATAAAGATTACGGCATAGAGAAGGTGACTCGCCTTCGGAATGTCCTCGTAGACCGGCAATGCTCCAGCGTTCACGATACCCATGTCCATTCCGGCTTTTATTGCGTAGTACAGGAAAACGGAGTGCATAGCCTCTCGAACAGCCTTCAAATGGTACCAATCATCGGCTCGTAGTAAGCCTCCCAAGGAAGAGTATGCGATCATCGTATCCTACTAGATTGCGAGGAATTTTCGAGACATTTTGAATTTTTTTTTGAATGTTTTCCAAAAATTCCCAGAAACTTCCATAGAAGGATTATCTCTCAAGTTCATCAATCAGTTCAGTTAGGCCTCCCAATCTCCAGGCCTGCGACGAAAACAGGGATCTTTGGATGACTTCGGCTGCTCCTTTTTTAAGAGTGTCGCTTGAGCGTGAACGAAACGACCATGCAGATAAAACTTTTCACCACTTCACCTATCCTTGTTCGGTAACTTTGAAAGTAACGACTGTTTCAAGGACGAAGATTCCCACAAAAGACGAGGGTCGGAATTAACACCGATGCCCTCTACGTCCTGATAGAAGCCGGTCCTCCCCAGTCGAAGACGTGCTGTCTAGTGGAGCGCATAAGGTGCCACTCCATCACGTCGCATAATTGCTGCACGATCTGGACAGAACTTGGAAATGCGGTTTCAGGATTTCTCACGGGTAACAGCCGCATCAGCTACAACTGCTAGTCGACATAAAAAGAGTCCTTGGCTCCTTCTTGAAGAGTAATCCAGCCACTGGGGCGAGGAATGCGCGCTTTCCTGAATCACAACACCACCGGCTGGGTTCGGAAGGACAGGGAAGAAGTTACTGTTTTCTTTTCTTCTTTTTCTTCTTATTTTTTACCAAGCTCGAGTTCAAAAACAAGGTGTTCCCGAACCACAAGCGGAGCGGACCACTGGGAGCTGTTAGCAGATAGAAGTACAGTCACGTCTGATGCCTACTATAAGTAACTGAAGATGGCAGAAGGTGAACATAAAGGTTAAAATGAAAAAAAAACATGATGTCTCAAAAATTCCTTCAAAACTTAAAGGACGAATTCACGCTGGAAAGGCAACCCATTTCAAATTAACCTTAGGGATGGTGAGTGGTACACGAAAGAAGGAAAAACCATGAGAAACGGCCCAGAACCCGAGAAATGGGACCCCTTCCTTGCCCGTTGATTTGAGCATTGATGCGACTCTCATCGCTGTGCCCTCTTCAACACTACGCTCTCTCACCTATCTAATCACTCGCCACGTATAGACCTGCGGCGAGTGATCAGATGATCGGTGGGCGTGCACTGGCCCACCGCGCCAAGATTGAGCCTTAATAGGTCGCCGAGGTCAACTCCTTCGGTGCCAATTGCGCTTCAGTTCGCACCCTCAGGAGGTCCGCGGGTCCCTCAACTAGGTGAATTACTCCTTCTTCGACCTTCATTCTAATCGTGAATTCGTCCTTAATACATTCCTACAGTTCATCTAGGTGAGCTGAAGATATGCGAGGCAAGAGGTTGGTCCAACTCAAGGTGGTTCACCAAATAAATTTGTTAACAAGAAATTGAAATACTTACCTCCATTCCGCGGAACGAGAACGATATATTTGATACTCCACCAGACACATGACATCCAGGAAGATTTTCCTAGACGCAAGAAATTAGGTAGAAAATGATCCTTTGTAGAATATACGTATGCATGTATGTACTACTCGATTATGCTCGCCAAACATCCCCAGCCTTGGAACGGACTGGGTCAGTGGAATTGGAGACATGGTTGTATTAGTTGCTCAACTAACAAGAGTTTTACTTTGTACTGTTCTATTCTATTCTGCTCTGACGATAGTGATTGCAAAAATGTCAACTGGTCACTAGTGATCAATCCGTTCTTGAGATGTGCCATGCCATTCCACATCCATTTACCGAAGTCGGGGATGTATGCGCTTGTCCATGGGATCAATTGTT